CCAAACGAAAATGATGATTCGGAGGATTCATCATCAAGCGATGAAAGTTCATGTTCGGATGATGATACGGCGCTAATATGCAAGCTAATAGAGTTGAGTACAAGTGAAGATTGTCTTATGGCTCTTGAAGCAGAGGACGAAGAGGTAATATCTAATTCTTTCAATTCTGTTAATTCCTCTTTTTCTCGTGAATCTATTGACAGTCTAATGCGAGAATATCAAGAGATTATGCTCACTCATCCTCAACTCAAGGAGCGCAATAATATTCTAATTCTTGAAAAAGAAGAAGTGAATAAAAAATTGCAAGATGCTTTACTTGAAGTGAGTAAATTGAAGAATGAAAATATTGATCTTCAAGAAGAGTGTAAAGCAAGAGAGGTTAGAGAACATAAACTTCGGGCAACTATTGCTACGTTCACTAATTCGTCTAAAATAATAGATAAAATGGTGAGCATGCAAAAGCCATCAGGAGATAGAACCGGAATCGGTTATGACTCCACATGTTCTCAAACCCCTCAAAATCTGACTAATTCTACTACTACTTTAAATAATAAAGTTCAAGTGGTAAAATTTGTTTAAAGTCAGAATAGCACGATGAGACAAGGACTTGGTTATCAAACAAAAGAAAAGTTGAATGTTGAAAGGCCGAAACAAGTCTATACTACGGCAAAGCAACAAAAATTCTTCAAGCAAAGATATGCCAAAGAGTCAAGTGCAAAAAGATTTCATAGAAAAGAGGGAAACTTTTCTAGAAATAAAGTTGGAAAATTTTATCCCACTCAAAAGGATTGGTTGTGTAATAGATGTAATGCTTTTTATAGACCAAAGCAACAATCCTCTTCCCAGTTGCCAAAATATAAAAATGTTTTTCAAAACCCGGCGCCAAAAATGTTTTCTAATGTGAGTTATGATTATCGTGTCTCAAATGGTTACAAATCGCCTCATCTTAATTCAATAAGATCAAGGAGGGTTTGGTTACCTAAAATCACTAACAGTAAAGGACCCAAGCAAGTATGGGTACCTAAAGTTAATTAATTTTTTTTGCAGGATGTTTGGTACATCGATAGTGGTTGCTCACGCCACATGACTAGAAATAAATCATATCTAGTGAATTTCAAAGAAATCGATGGACCAAAAGTTATATTAGGAGGAAATCAAAATTATGGGACTACAAAAGAAGTTGGCACGATCAAGAAAAATGGATTAAAGATTTAAGATGTTTCTTTCGTTGAAGGCTTAAAATTCAATTTGTTGAGCACTAGTCAATTTTGTGATAAAGGCTATCTTGCAGAATTTTCTAAAGATAATTGCCTAATCAAAAATGAGCTCACAAATGAGATTGTTCTCTCTGGAAAAAGACGAAAGAATATGTATGTTGTTGATTGGAGTACAAGCAAAAATTCAGTGTGCCTAATGGCCAGAAATTCGAATGAAGCTAATTGGGAATGGCACAGAAAGCTCAACCACTTAAACTTCAAGACTATCAATCAACTTGCAAAGAAGAATCTAGAAGAAGGCTTGCCAGATATTATCTTCAAGAAGGACCAAGTGTGTGATGCATGCCAACGCAGAAAGCAAATCAAATCATCATTCAAATCAAAGACACACGAGTCAATGTCAAGACGCCATACGAGCTATATAAAGGGAGAAAACCAAATATTGGTTATTTTCATATTTTTGGATGCAAATGTTTTATTCATATTAATGATAAATTGCATCTAAAAGCTTTTGATGAGCGTGCAGATGAAGGAATTTTTCTAGGATATTCAGCTACCAGCAAGGCGTTCAGAGTTTTGAATAAAAGAACAATAGTGGTTGAAGAATCCATACACGTGGTATTTGATGAAAAATCACAAATCAAAAATGGCGCTCTGGACGAAGAATTCGAACAAAATGGTAACAAGTGTCATATTGATATTTGTGATACTAATGATACGTGTGAAGATGATGTTTTGCAGGGAATGGATGAGTTGGAAATTAATTTTCTAGAAAATCCCATCCCTCATCCAGAAGAAGTTGGAAATTCTTTTAATAATAATTTTGGAGGTGAAGCCGCACGTGAGAATGAAGATGTAGTACGGGTTGAAGTTGGTGATCCAATTAGTGATCAAGTTACTGGTGAAGTTGGTAATCAATTTCAAGAAGAATTAAATGAGGAAATTCGAACCAACTCATCCAGTACACAACAAATGGATCCACCCAGTACCATGCAGCCATTTGAACCAGATTTAAGATGGCTCAAAAATCACCCTCCAGAATTAATTATTGGGAATATTCATGAAGGCATGAAAACGAGATCAATCACCATGGAAGCATTGTTCACGTGCTATCTATCTCAAATTGAACCAAAAGAAGTGGACGAAGCTCTTAATGATCCGGATTGGATAAATGCTATGCAAGAGGAGCTCGATCAATTCAAAAGAAATGATGTTTGGGAACTTGTTCCAAGACCGACGAACCACAATGTTGTAGGAACCAAATGGGTCTTCCGGAACAAAGCAAACGAAGAAGGCGTGATTGTTAGGAATAAAGCAAGGCTCGTTGCAAAAGGATACTCGCAAGAAGAAGGAATAGATTTTGATGAAACCTTTGCACCGGTTGCTCGACTTGAAGCAATCAGAATTTTCCTAGCCTACGCCGCACACAAAGATTTCACCGTTTATCAAATGGACGTGAAAAGCGCATTCTTGAATGGTCTACTCGAAGAAGAAGTTTATGTCGAACAACCCCCAGGTTTTGAGGTAAAAGGCGAAGGTGATAAAGTCTACAAACTTAAAAAGGCATTGTATGGGTTGAGACAAGCACCTAGAGCGTGGTATGATACTTTGTCAATGTTCTTGATAAGTTGTGGATTCACCAAAGGCCTTGTTGACAAAACTCTATTTAGAATTCAAGATGGTGATCATATTTTATTAGTGCAAATATATGTTGATGATATTATTTTTGGAAGCACTAACAATTCTTTGTGTGAGAAATTTTCGAAGCTTATGCAGAATAAATTCGAAATGAGCATGATGGGTGAATTGAATTACTTCTAGGGCTTACAAGTCAAACAACTGAAAGCAGGAATATTCATCAATCAAGCAAAGTACACCCGCGACTTGATAAAGAAGTTTGGCCTTGATGGAAAATCATCGATCAAAATTCCAATGAGCACATCAATAAGGCTAGACAAAGATGAAGATGGAAAGGATGTCGATCAAACAAAATATAGAGGAATGATTGTTTCTCTTCTATATCTTACTGCAAGCAGGCCTAACATTTCTTATGCTGTGGGAGTCTGTGCAAGATTCCAAGCAAATCCTAAAGAGAGCCACCTCACCGCAACAAAGAAGATCATACGATATCTGAAAGGCACAATCAATGTTGGATTGTGGTATCCAAAAGGTACAGATTTTACTCTAACGGGTTTTTCAGATGCGGATTTTGCAGGTTGCAAAATAGACAGAAAAAGCACTTCCGGGATATGCCAGTTCTTGGGGGGAAGGCTTGTTTCTTGGTTCAGCAAAAAGCAAAATTCCATCGCAACTAGTACTGCCGAGGCCGAATACATTGCTGCAGGAAGTTGTTGTGCCCAAATTTTGTGGATGAAGCAACAATTGAAGGATTACGGAGTTAATTGTGATGACGTTAGTATTTATTGTGATAATACTAGTGCAATCGCTATCACTCACAATCCAGTGCTTCACTCAAGAACCAAACATATCGACATTCGACATCACTTCATAAGGGATCACGTTGAAAAGAAAAATCAAAAGATCGAATATATCCCTACGGAAAACCAAGTTGCTGATATTCTCACGAAGCCTTTACGCGAAACGAGATTTTCTATCTTAAGGCACGAGTTGGGAATGATCGAAATGAGCTAAGTATCACTGGACTTAATCTCTCTATTCAATTTGATACTTGTGCTCAAATAAATTGTTTTATGTGAATAAATTGTTTTATGTGATTATATGCACATGTTTATTCGAAATTTTTGTGTAATAAAATTGCAATATGTGTTAGGAATTTATTTATGTATTTGCATGTGTTATTTAACGTAAAATCATATGCCATGCAAATTAATTTGATGAAACGTGCAATTCGTGATTTATTTGATAATTTGTTCAAAATTGCATGTTTTAACGTGTCATTTAGTCTATAAGTTTTTGTTCATGTTTTGAAAATTAATTAATCTGTTTGCATGAACAACTTGTTTTAAAATGTGATTTTATGATTTATGTGTAATAATTTTCTATAAAAATGTTTTAGAAATCTGAGCTAAAAATTAATATTTTTTGTTAGTTTCTAAAATATTTTGGAATCTGATTTGTGTGCAAATTATGTGGAGTTGTTTCTAATTATTAATTTGGAATATATGTGTTAATTTGTTAGTTTTCAAAATTTGTTTGTTTTAATTGGAAATTACCGTGTGTATGTTTGATATAATTGGTATGTGTGATTAATTATTTGTGGAGTAATTTATGCTACTAACGAGATGTTTGAGTATGGTTATGTTTGTGGTACACGTTTTTGAGAAGAAAATCAGGAGATAAAGGAGGAAAATCAGAGTTTAATTGGGTATCAAACCTCCACCCATAAACTCCTACCCTTTCTAAACCTCCACCCATCCTAAACTTCCCCCCATAATCCTCTCATAGATTAAATCTTTCCAAAATGATTTACTCTCTCTCTCTCAAATCGGCACCCCCCATACCTCCTCTCAGCTAAATAATCCCAATCGTCTCCCACATAGCAATTAAAACCTAACCCCTCATTAAACTCTCCCCTCTAAACCGTTGCCCATCAAATCCCTTCCCATCCACCGCTCTCTCGACCAATGAGAAGTCTTACCGCTATCCGTCACATCCCGTAAATCTCAAACGACGGCCAGAAATATTTACTCCCCATCGGCGAGAGAACCGTTAGTCTTCCTGACCGCCCTATATATTGGGAGACAGCCGAGAAATATTTGTTGTGGAAGATTTTGTTTGTTTGAACTCTTTTGCAGGTGCAAGATGGTGTCCAGCGAATCTCAGGAGAACGAGATGAGGAAGCAAACTCAGAGAACATGGGAGAAGGTTCTCAAACAACCTCGAAGGGCAACACGAACGGACATACGCAGAAAAGCAGGAGAAACCCCAAGCAACCCTCTGGTGTTAATTTCAGAAGAAAAGGAGCATGAACCGAAGTCGCCTCAAGTTCAAGCAGTAGCAGGATCACCACCGCGTGAACATGGCTTCATATACGAAGAAGACAATGGTGACAAGAAACCATCGGCAGAACAAGGCAAAGTGGAAGGGTCTGAGCCTCCATTTATGAAGTTCTCACCGGTTGTTCAACCTGATATGTATGCTGAAATTTTGAATATGAGCAATTCAGAATATCTCCAAAATTTGAAACAACTGACGTTTGGACCGGTTCTACCCCCTCCTGGTTTCGGTTTCGATGGGCTCTATCAACCTCCACCTCCACCAGAGCCTCTTCCGAAGTTTCCACCAAGTCTGCCAGTTCTTGCACCTCTGCCACAAGAAATTCCTGCTCCTCCACCGCCTCCTCATCAGATGCCGATCAACCTGTTCATCCGTCCTCCTGTGGACTTTACTAGGTTTTTCAATCAAACCTACTCATCTTCAAGCTCAAACGGGTCAATGTTCGAGGAAAGTGAGTCCAGTGATGACTCTGGACCAGGATACGCTCCTTCACCGCCAGGAGGTTATGACTTAGATGATTGCATGAGTACTGGTTTCTCTGCCTGTTGAATGTGTTCTGTTATCTCTCTCTCTCTCTCCTTCTCCCTAAGAAGGAGATAAATAAAATTTTATGGATGTTTTTTTGCTACTGGTTCTCTCTACCTCTCTCTCTAAAAATGAAAAATCCCTACGATATATAAAAAGATCAAAAGTTTCGTAGCCAAAAAGATACACAAAAATATACATGAATAAAAAAAAAAAAGAGAATTAAAGAAATTAAAAATTATATATTATGGCTACAAGAAGGGATAAAAGAAAAAAAGATTAAGAGGAGAAGTGTCAGTACGAGAAGAAGTAAGAGAACAAGTGTCAGAAGAAATGAGAAGAGATATACCAGTTGAAGTTGCAGTAGAAGTTGCTACTGAGTGTAGACAACAAATCACAGAGGATTTATCCAGTGTATTGCCAGTACACCATACCAAGTCTACCATGCCTATCATGGACCCTGTTCTAGAAAATGAAGATTTATTTGCAGACAACTACACAAGAACAGAAGTCTTAGAAGAAGAGATTGGTGATCTCAATCAAGAAGCCGAATCACTTGAAGAAGAAGAAAGGATGCAACTCGTTGATACACCAGTTCTCATAGATCCAAGAAGATGAGATAAGGATCAGCGTTTCTATTCCAATACAATAGAGATTACAAAACAATCACCTAATATACATCAGCGTGAACTAATCCTAATAACTAGGAAAGCCATAAATAACTAATCTAATGTAAAGACTAGTCAAACCAAATAACAAATAATAACATAAATAATAATATCACTAACACACCCCCTCAAGCTCAAGAGTGGTGAGCAACAATGTTGAGCTTGTCCCATAGAGCTGCAAAGCGGGGCCCTGGCAATGGTTTAGTGAATATATCTGCAAGCTAGTCCTTCGTTGAAACAAAATTAACAACTAAGTCACCGGAAGCTACCTTGTCTCGAACAAAGTGAAAATCAATTTCCACGTGCTTAGTCCTGGCATGGAACACCAAATTGGCACAGAGATAGGTAGCACCTAGATTATCGCACCAGAGTGTGGATGGCTCGCCTGTGTGGAGCCCGAGCTCACGAAGTAGAGAAAAAACCCAGGTGACCTCCGCAGACACATCGACGAGAGCTTTGTACTCAGCTTCAGTCAAAGACTGTGCCACCGTGCGCTGTTTCCGGGACATCCAAGAGATGAGATTGTCCCCCAGGAACACAGCGTACCCACTAGTACTCTTCCTGTTGATCGGACAACCAGCCCAGTCTGAGTCAGAAAACCCATGAATAGTAGACAAAGCAGAAGCCGAGAGTCGCAGTCCGTATGTGATGGTGCCTTTGATATACTGTAGCACACGCTTCAATAGTCCCCAATGCTCATTGCTCGGTGAATGCATAAACTGACATTGGCGATTGACGGAGAAGGATAGATCAGGCCGCGTGATAGTCAGATACTGAAGTGCCCCAACCAGACGACGATACTGGGTCGGATTATCGAATGGTTGGTCAGACGGAGTCACCGGCTGAGTAACGGCAGCGGGAGTGGCCAGTGGTTTGCAATCCGTCATGCCGGCACGGTTAAGGATGTCTTTCATATAACGTTGCTGAGACAGCAAAAACCCTGTGTTATCTTTCACCGTCTCGATCCCAAGGAAAAAACTAGGTGCACCAAGATCACGAATTTTGAAGGTCGTGGATAGTCGTCGTAGTAACTCTGAGATAAGCACAGAGTCGTTGCCAATCATAATTATGTCGTCAACATAAACAAGCAAGTACACACGCGATGTACCAGTAGAATAGTGAAAAAGTGATATGTCCGTCTTTGAGGATAAAAAGCCTGCAGAAACCAGAAAATCATGTAAGCGCTTAAACCAAGCCATAGGGGCCTGTTTAAGTCCATATAGCGACCGTTGAAGGTGACACACATGATCCGGGTGTGTCGGGTCTTCATACCCCGGTGGCTACTTCATGTAAACTGTCTCAGCTAGATGCCCGTTTAAAAAGGCATTGTGGACATCTAGCTGGCGCATGGTCCAATCACGCGATACTGCAAGAGAAAATAACAATCGAACAGTGGTCGGCTTGACCACGGGGCTAAAAGTGTCAAAAAAGTCTTCACCAGCCACTTGATTGAACCCCTTAGCCACAAGTCGTGCCTTGTACCGCTCGACCGAACCATTGGCATTTCGTTTAGTGCGGAACACCCATTTGCAACCAACCACATTCATGTGTGGTTCAGCCGGTACAAGTTTCCAAGTGTCGTTATGAATAAGAGCATTGAACTCTTGATCCATCGCATCTCGCCACTGCGGATGCCCTACCGCCTCTGAGTAACATGTTGGATCTACCGTTGCAGTTAAAGCCTGAAACTGCTCATCAGTACCCCGTGTCTGGTGCCGAAGTGGCATGACATGCGCTCGGTCTTGTAGTTGTGTGCGGGGCTTCCGGGTCCGGGCCCGAGGTTGCTCAGTGCGTGTCTGAACCGGCCCTTCTAGAGCCAAGGGCGGCGGCTCTTGAGCCATCGGTGTAGGACTGTGTGAGCTAGCACGCACCACTTCATTCATATTCACCTCACTCTGTGATGACTCATGGGTCACAAGCGGCCCAACTGCCCATGGGACGGCCGCGATGTTTGTCTGAGTGGTGTTATCTCCTGTTGAGACTGAAAAAGGGAAAACAGACTCATCAAAACGCACATGGAGACAGATATAGACTTTTCCACTTGTTAGGTCCATGCACCTATAACCCCTAAAGCTGGGTGGGTAACCTAAGAAGACGCATGGTGCAGAGCGATATTCTATCTTGTGCCGATTGTAGGGCCGTAGATAGGGATAACACTTGCACCCGAAGACTCGTAGGAAAGTGTATGGGGGCGGAGTTTTATGTAGGCGAGTGTATGGGCTTTCAAACTGCAAGACTGGTGTTGGTAGGTAATTAATTAGGTAGGTAGCTGTTTCGAAAGCAAAGTCCCAGTATTGTAGGGGTACTGAGCCTTCAGCTAGTAGCGCTAACCCGGTTTCAACAATGTGCCGATTTTTGCGCTCAACTTTGCCGTTTTGCTCGTGCGTGTATGCACATGATTTACGGTGAATTATACCTAGTTGGGTGAAAATATTATGTAATTTTCGATATTCCCCTCCTAGATCCGATTGAATAGACTTGATAGAATGCCCGAATTGGCACTCTACCATGACACGAAACGACTCAAAAATTTTATAAACGTCTGATTTTACCCGTAAGGGATAAAACCAGCAGAAACGCGAGTAATCATCTACAAATAGCAAAAAGTATCTAAAACCGCTAGTAGAGATTACAGGGGCCGGGCCCCAAATATCTGTAAATAACAAGTCTAATACATTTTCACTAGTATGATTGACCCTATCTAGTGGAAATCTAGAAGTCTTGCCAAGATGACACGAAACGCACGACCCCAACGACTCGGTTTTATTTGTTGCCACCAGATACGATTTTAGGACGCGATTTTGAACATGGCCATTTGGATGTCCCAAGCGGCGATGCCAAATCGTGGGAGTTGCCCGGGCAGAAAGATATGCGAAATGAGATTGCGAGACCGGAAGCTTGTATAAGCCGCCCGACGTTGACCCTCTAAGCAGAACTGCTTTGGTGATTGTATCCTTCACAATAAAACAGTTTTTGTGAAATTCAACAAACACATTATTTTCATTTGTTAGGCGATAAACAGACATTAAAGGCACAGATAATTTTGGGACATGTAACACATTTGACAAACGTAACAATTTTGACGCAGATGGTATAGTAGCATGGCCAACGCGTGAAATTATCAAACCTGTCCCATTACCCACACGGAGCACATCGCCCCCGGTATACTCGTCGGATTGTGACATCATGGACGCATCCGGGGTTGCATGGGCCGTTGCTCCAGTGTCGGGGAACCAGCCAGATGCCGAGGATGCCGTCGCCGAGTCTTCGCCGGAAACCACCATGCCGAGGATGCATCAGGGGTTGCATGGGCCTGTGGTTGCGGCTGCGGCGCATAGCGCTTCTAGCAGTAGAGGGCAGTATGCCCTTGCGCGCGGCAAATCTGGCAGCGTGGCGCCCCGCCACGGCCTCCACGTCCGCGCCCTTGTCCTCCCCGGCCTCTGCTGGAATTGTGGCAGCCACCATTTCCGGAACCACCTCGCCCGGATTCACCGCCACCACGACGTCCTCGCCCGACAAACATAGCAGCCGGCGCAGGCACCATGCCAGTGTCAGACCCGGCCGGAAACTCTTCTGAGTAAATAAATTCCTGCGCTCGCAGGTAGTCCGCAATTTGAGGGATGGTCACGGGCGTTCCTGTCGTGGTAAGGGAGGATGCCATGGCGCGATATTCTGGACGCAGACCACGGAAAACGAACAGATTCTGTTCGTCCAGGGAGATGGGGTGACCGGCATGTGCGAGATCTTCCACCAAGAGCTGGGCACGACATAAGTATTCGGCCGCAGTGCTATTGCCCTGCCGGAGGGAGTGAAATTGGCCCAGTAAGCTGAGACACCGTGCGCGTGTCGAACTCCCGAGTGCTGCTCCGACGGATTCCCAAACGGCACGAGACGTGGTCTTCCCTACAGCCAAATGTATGACCTCATCGGATAGCGATGAGATCAACAGAGATATGAGAGATTGGTCCTGCTTGACCCACACTCGATAGGCGGGATTCGGGACCGGCGCGGCCGTGGTGGCATCGGACGCGGATTCGCCGGTGGCCGGGGCAGCTGGGATGGTTGGCGGTGGGCATGGTGTCTCGCCGTCGACGGAGCCGAGAAGCTCTTGACCACGGAGGAAGGGCACCAGTTGCGTTCGCCAGAAAAGAAAATTGCGATATGTCAATTTAATTGACACAAATGATGCGCGCTTGAGAGGGAATTTGCGGTGGGGTTTGGGAGGGTGGGATCGCTGGCAGTGACTGTTCTTTCAGATGAACCAGTCGACATGATGAATTGTCCGGCGGTCGTTTTTGGGGTGGAGGTGATGATCGATCGCGATCGATGAATGTGAAGAGGAGAGAGAAACGATCCTGGACTGATACTAGATGAGATAAGGATCAGCGTTTCTATTCCAATACAATAGAGATTACAAAACAATCACCTAATATACATCAGCATGAACTAATCCTAATAACTAGGAAAGCCATAAATAACTAATCTAATGTAAAGACTAGTCAAACCAAATAACAAATAATAACATAAATAATAATATCACTAACAAAGAAGGAGTCCATTCGGATGTCCTCAAAATTTTATACAGACAAGTGATCAAAAAGATGGCATTTTTACATCCTTATTTGCCAAAGTTGCCGAATCCGGTGATGTTGTTTGTCAAACCATTGGAGAAAAGTTGATTGAACAAAATCAAAAGATGGATCAACAACACACGGATACACGAATCAATCTGAAGGAATTAATGGAGCATCAAAATATTTTGAAGACTCAGATTGACAAAGCAGAAAGGATCTTGAAAGGAGAATTGACAAAAGGCTTACTTGAAGTGATTCAACTCATGAAGAAGGAAGGTGAAGCAGCTGAAAAGATTCACAACGAACGTCACTTGCGACAAGTCAAGGCGATTCAAGATCAAGAAAGCCGAATCAACAAACTTGAAGTTGAGCTCACAGTTGCAACAAACAAGCTGGAAAATGTTCAAGCTGTTTCCATTGAAACACACAACAGTGTTGAAACTGTGAAAGCAAATCAAGACCGAGATTGTAAGACCCTTGCACTTTTGGTTGATAACGCCAAATGGGGTGAAGAAATTCTCAGTCACTTGGCTTTGCAACAACAAGAATTTATTCTTGGAAGCCAACAACAGCCAGTAATATCGACTCAAGGTAGAGGCCGAAGCCGCGGACAATCCTCACAAGGACCATCTCAGATTGGTTTTGCTCAGTTCGCGAATCCTAGTCTTGGTACGAGTACATCGAAAGTTGTTGAAACTCGTGTCTGGTTTGAATGCTCTAAAGGTACCGCCACTCAGACAACAATATGGACTAAGGAAAATCTACCAAGAATGATCAAAAAATTTCCTGCAGCCGATCAAGCCCAATGGATCTCGGACAAGAATAAAGAAGAAGAAGGCAAACGGAAAAGAACCAAGATGTGGTATGAACTAAGAGATTTCACTGGAAATATGGGCATGAATCTTGGAGAAGAAAGAAGCTTCGAAGAATGTGTCTTATGGTGGGAAGCTGGAGTTATTCCGGGCAACAATATCAAAGAAGCTTTTGGATATTACATGGCCGAGCAAGTTACAAAGAGATTTCAGAATGCGATGTTCAAAGATGATTTCTTCAAGCTCAGAGAACATGTCAAGTAAATTTTGAAGAAAGACTTTGGTGAGAAGAAACCCAGAAGGTAATCTGAAAAATCTCTTAAACTGATGTTTTCGCTATTTTCGAACCTCTGTTGCGTTTTTCTCTAAATATTCGAAATATCTCAATAATAACTTCCCATGGTCTATTTTGAGTTTAGAATTTTATTTGTCTTTTGTAATTAGATCTTTCGTGAATTAAAAAGACAAGGAATGTCAAAACGCACATAAAAATTTAAAAAAAAAAATGATGATCAAAAATAAGAATAATTAAAGATGCAATTAGGAGCTTGTCTAAAAATTAATTCACAAGTTTTCTTTTGATTGTGTCTAGAAAACCATTTGTTAAACTCATCTTGGCTTTGTTAAATAAAATTGAGCAAAATGATTATTTTTCAAAGACTTTAAGCCAATGACTGAGTATAGGTTTTGGCATTATCAAAAGGGGGGAAATTGTTAGGAATAAAGTGTAATGGTTTTGATATGCCAAATATGTATTTGTAGATCCCCCAATTTTATTTCATAGGTCTAGTAGAGTCTTGGACCATGATCGGG